ATAGAATTAAGTTTAAAAACAAACTAGCTATTACAAACCTTTTTATGAACGCATAGTGTTTAAGACGATTGACCGTAACGATTGTACCTCGAATACCTTTTTCTAAAGATAGAAATATTCTTTTTTTAATGTTCAAATTTTGAAATTCTATTACCAAAAAGAACTGGTTCATTATTACCAGAAACAAGTCCTTTACTATGATCACGAGTAAATGATTTATTATTACTACGAACAAATGTTCTATTATGAACACGAATAACAGGTTTGTTTTTAGCAAGAACAAGTGGTTCATTATTATCAATTAATGATTCATTGTCATCAAGAATTACTGGTTCATTAGTACTAAGATTTAATGGTACACAAACTATTGAACTTGTATTTTCTTTGTCCATTAATTGATTAGATTTATTCTTTTTGAATCTAAAATATTGACGGATAAACAAAGAAATATTTCAAAACATATTACTTTTCTTTTTTATTTCAATAAAGCAGAATGATTTTATTTAATCAAAACCTTTTTGATAGGTGAAGTTTGTATTTAAATACAATAAGAATTGAGGATCTAAAATAATATAAAATATGCTAATGATCAATTTCGGATTGTTATTACAATTTTTTCCCCATACAACGTACTAATAAAAAAAATTAAAATTTTTGATTTATTCGACTATTTTAATGAAAGAATTTGATGGCAACAGGAACACCAACAACTAATTCTCATAGTGGAAAACATCGATTAGATCCTGAAATAGAAAAATATCGTTTAGAACTTAATTGGACTAAAATTCTTGATACACTAAAATGTGCAAAAGTTTCAGGTTTTATTTCTTAGTTTGGTTTTTTTTTAAATAAAAATCTAAAATTTAATTTGTTTTTTTTTGTTTTTTATTTGAAAAGAATATGTTAAATTTTTGGAAGGAGAAGCTCAATTAGAATATTATTTACAACAATATCCATTAACTGATTATCGTCATATAGAACAATCTCGAAATGATTTAATTCGTGTTGAAAATCTTCTTAAATCAGGTGGATCAGTTCGTTCATTTGAAGGTCAATGCTTATTAGCTAAATTATATTATGCTCAATCACGTTATGATGAATGTTTAACATATGTTAATTTAGCAATTAATTCAATACCAAATGATATTAATCAACAACCAAATAGATCTTTATTACTTGCAGAAATTTATGCACTTAATGGACTTTTATTAGAAGAAAAAAATGAAAATTTATTTCAAATAAATCATTTGATGATTCTTGTAAATTAAGTCAAACATATTATGCTGCTGTTGAAAAATCTAAACATTTAAGTAATGAGAATTTAGATATTGAAAATTCTTTAATTGAATTAGCTTATCAACGTTTACCACTTTTACATGCTTCAAGTAAGTTAATTCTTTTCTTATAAAAATTAATATTTATTTTAAATAAATATATATATATATATTTTTTTTTCTGTTTAGTAATATAAAAACAGCTATTGAAATATTTCGTTCATATATTCAAAATGTTCATATTAAATCATTAGAAACAATGAGACAAGTTTGTCTTAAATAAATTAAATAAAATCTATAAGACTTTTTTTGTTTTTGTTAATATAGACATTAATTAAACAATATGCCGAATTATTATTAAAATGTGTTTGTAAAGGAAATTATATTCCAATAATAAGTTCAGATGATAAAACTAATAAAAATAATCGTCGATCATCTCAGTAAGAATAAATAAATAAATAAATTAATTAATTATAAAAACTAGATCATTATTTATTCCTCGAGATGTTGATAAAGAAATTTTGTTATTATTATTATTGGGTCAAACATCAACATTAAATGAAGCTGTACTTGATTGGCAACCTGAACATGAAGGTCAAAGAGAACGTAGTCATCAAGCTGCTTATAATATTCTTGCTCTTCTATCTATATTTCTTTCTCGTAAACAAGCATTTCATATTATTGCTGATGTAAATTTTTTTTTTATTTATCTTTTATAATAATATAATATATCTATATATGTCTAGTCTTATGAACAAGCTCTTCGTTTTTCATTTGAACATTTTCAAACATGGTTTAATTATGGATTATCATTAATATCATCAGGTCAATCATATCGTGCTTATCTTATATTAAAAGAATGTTTACGAATGCAACCAAAAAATCTTCAAGTTTATTTACAACCTGCTAAAATAATTCTGGAATATATATATGATGTAGATTTAATTGAATTTTTTTTTAATTCCTAAATGGATATTATATTATTTAAAATAGTTTCTATCATTATTTGAAATATTTCCATCAACTGGTGAAGATGGACAAACATTATTAAAACAAACATTATATCAAGAACAATATTATTTAAATCAACATGAACAACGACCGAGATTTATTGATCTTGTAATTTTCATTTTTTTTTATTTATAAAAAAAAGAAAAAATATTTAATATTAAGTTTGATGAAGCAATTAATTATTGTCAACAAGCAAAAGAATTTGAAAATCCTCCATTTGCTCGTTCACTTCTTGCTATTGCCAAATCATTTAAAGCTCGACAAACTTCAATTCATCATGATCGTCAAGCACTTTTTCAATCAGCTATTAATGATCTTCAAGAGTATTTTTATTTTTGTTTTTTTATATAAAATATACGTTTACATTTAAAAGATCTTTTTTTTCGTATAATTGATTAAATGAATTCGAACTACGTCGCTGTACATTTTGCATAAGAACTCATCTCGCATTCTATTTA